GCGGGGAGCCTGCTTCTCCCTCTGACCCTCCCCCCTCTCATGTGCTCTCTCTCTCGTTCTCTCTGTCTCAAATAAATAAATGAATAAAATCTTTAAAAAAAGAAAGAAAGAAAACAACCCCAAAGAGATAGGTGAACAGCAAAGAAGGCAAAGGCAAACCCATGGAGTCTATTATCAAGTCTCCTAACTCCCAGGACAGCCACAGGAGTTATTTTTCAAATGTATATATTTCAGTGCTGTAGATAGTACTTCTCTGGGAAAGTAAGCATTTGATGCCTCTTACCATCTGGAACTCTTGTAGGTAAATACAAGTCCACATAAAAATCAGTCATTGTCATTCCCTTTAACTTATTAGCACAGCCTCAGAAGCTGATGACAATGAAAGTGCTGAAAAGCATCCTTGTGAATGGACAATCACTTGAGTGGGGAATCTATTTCTACTAGACTCTAAATTTGTACACCCCTTTTTGTCTTCTGTTGAAAAAAAGTATTTGGCATTGTGCCACCACAGAAGGCGCAAAGCTTGTGTTTGGAATGGGTACATCGTGGATATCCTGGGAAGGGTGACCACAGGACGGATGTGCAGGCTCACGGGGGCCTGAAATTTCCAATTCATATTCCCTTTTCACAACAGCAAAGAACAAACTACCTGAGCTCTTTCCCATAGTTCATACTCTTCCACTCTCATGATCAGAACATCATTGAAATGAAGCATGACACCTGGAATCCTACAAAGAAGAGTCCCCCTGACCTTGCTAAAAAGAAAAAAAGAAAGAAAAAATGCCGGGAGAAGTAAAACTTCCAAATAAATTGGTCTTTACCTCAAAATTCCCAGCAGTGCATAAGGATGGTTTTGATGCCTACAGTAACATCCATCTACAATCAGCTACTGTCTATTGGAAAGGTAAAGTTGTAGACATTCCCAAGAAAGGGTAAGTGAGCCAATAATGGCTGCTTATGTATCTTGCACAGGATGCATTTGTCTCCAGAAAAACCTTACCTTACCATCAGACCTTACTACTTTTATGACTCCTACTTTAGGTGTATGTTGTGCGAGAACTAAGGTTTCATGGATAAGGCCCTTAGTTTGTTTTCCTTAGAATGAAAAGATAGTTTTCTAGCCCAAAAGGAATTGGTTCAGTGGCCAGATCCAGCTGATATCATATCGACTTCCTTTTGTATACTCCTAGTTAGTGACACAGATAATTTGAAGAAATCAGTTTTAACAATTCAAAATCCTTTGCTTCAGATTCTTAAATGTCTAAGCCAATTCCATGTCTTATGGTGTCATCTCATTTTAGTGGAAAATTGAATATAATTAATGAAAGATCCACATTGCACAGCAAATTGTTTATCAATAGTGTTTGAGAGTATCTTTACATTGTCTGCTGGTGGCCATTTTTTTCCCCATAGAAATCTATCCTTGTAATAGAAAAGATTACATGGGAGAACAGCAAACTACCCACTCATTCATCAATTCATTCATTTAACAAACATTATGGGGCATCTCTATCCTCTGCAAGGCACTGAGGAATCAGAAATTAACAACACACATCCCCTGTCCTTAAGAGTTCTCATTCCAGTAGAGGAATTAGTGAATAAAAATCGCTACTATACTTTGATTAGTACCATGAGGAAAATACATAAAGGAGCACAGATAATGGGCACAACTCAGCTTGATGCAAGGCATCAAGAAAGGTTTCCCAGAGAAGGGGCCCTTGAGTGGATTCGCTGAGCAGACAAGTGGTAATGGTCATTTTAAGCAGAAGGAACAATGTGTGCAAAGGCATGTAGATTTGAGAACATCGTATGCAGTAAACTTTATGCATACACCCAGAACATAACACACTGGGGAAACTACATGGAACTGAGCTCCTCTGGAGGGGACAAGAACCAGAAAATGGTGGCAGATGTTCAACAACATGTAACATTGGTTTGTTGGACAACTATTGCAGATAATGCCCATCCTAAATAACTCCAGCTTGCAACTACGAAAATGAGAATAATACAAGAAATCTTAATTTTAGACCATGTCATCTGCTAAAGTGCATAATAGTACCTGGCCAAGCCCAGCATCCTAAATGTTTCTCCTCAAGCCAACAGGGTCAATAATATATTTATGACTTGACAGGTTACAATGAAAACCTGGTAATGGCTAGTCCTGCATAAACTCAAACCACCCAGAAAATGGTGTGTGAACACTGAATATCAAACTATAATACATACTACATGGGGGAAAGGGTTCCGTTAAATCTGTGTGCAGCCTCCCCAGCCCTAGGAAATAACAGGCTCTGCCATAAGGTCATTATGTTTCTCACATAAATCATGAGGCTGAACATGATCATGATATTTATAGCTTGAAGCTTTCAACTCACAGTTCAAATTTCCCAGTGGATTCTCAGACAACTGCTGTTATCTCTGAAGATGGTCAATCAGAAAACAAATGCTCATGGAGCCACTGCAAAATACAGACTAAAAAATGAAAAAAAATATATATATATATACTTTTGATAACAAGGAGTGATTGCTCATGGCCCTCAAACCAAGGAGTTTATGCTGTCAGAAATTTAAAAAAAGACAAACATGTTATAACTTGAAATATATCATTGCCATAGTGTAGTGAGAAGAATCACATATGGCAGAGGTTCAGAGCTTGGATTGCAGAATGGATTGAGTCTGGGAAGGTGAGCACAGTGCCAAATCCTATCACTTTTGGGCTCTTTAGCAAGATCTGGAGGCACTCTGTGCCTCAGTTTCTCAATCTATACAACAGGCTAAAGGTAATGTCTACTGCATAGATTGTTACGAGAATTAAGGCAGATAATACATCTACAACAGCTAGAACCCTAGCTGGCACAAAAATATTAGGACTATTAAAAATACGAGGGATCTTTAAAAGGCTTCCCAAAGAGGGTAGTCTGCAAACAGTAACTCAGAGAATAGGGACTGTGGGATAATTCATCCCTGTTCACTCTTGAGGAATTGTGGGCTGGTCTCTAAAGGGAGTAAACCCCTCAATAATCCATCTTTGATTTTAGCTCCCCTTGGATTTCTGGCGCTGAATTGCAACACTCAATTTTGCATTTGTAACGTCATTTTCCCCCTAGTTTTCTTCTTCTTTGTTCACTTTTGTCATTTTAACTTGAATCCAGAAATTTACATCTCTCCCTATGTTCCTATCACCTTATTGCCAGAGAGAAAGTCTAGTCCTTTGGGGGAAATCAAGAAATTGGGCTCTCATCTTAGCTTTTTCTGTTTATCGGTTGTATAAATTCTGGAAAGACACTTCACCCTTTGAGCTTCAGCTTCCTCACCTATAAAACAAAACGCTTAGATCATCTTCATGGTTCCTTCCAGTTCTAAAATGTAAAGATCTTATAGCTCATTTACATTTTTTTTCCAAAGTCACTGATAAAAATTTAACCTTACTTGACCACCTCATACAGACTTTGTTTCAAACTGTTCTCTTAGAATATATTCAACTTTCTCATCCAATTCCTACCACTTCCCTTTTCCACAAGAGTCCAAGTAATGTCACTGATGCCTTGTGGAAGTCATGGTCCTCCAGGGCTACAATTCTTCCCTAAATTGTTCAACTAATGCTGACATGTTCTCTAGTGAAATTCATTGTTAGTGAATCGGCACTGTGACTTTCTAAGCACTTGCATGCTCTCTAATAAAAAACTCTATTCTAGAAGAGTTACCGAAATACATCCTTCTTACTGATTTATTCACTCTTAATTTATATTTCCTGAATTTGCCCTTCTTCCTTCCTTTTCAACCCTCTGACAGTCCTCCCATTATTGATTTCTCAAAGATTACTGATGGTGATTCCATAGATTCATCTGCTATTTCCTCCAGAATTCAGAACTGGGAGCAATCTCAAATAACATGATTTTATGGGTTTGTGTTTGGACTTCTCTCCCACATTGATGTGAGATAACGTTTTCATATAATTGTATTACCATCTCCAGATTAGAACACATTCTCACAAGACATGTATCATATGACCTCACTGATATGAGTAATTCTTAATTGCAGGAAACAAACTGAGGGTTGCTGGAGTGGGGGGTGGGGTGGGAGGGATGGGGTGACTGGGTGATAGACACTGGGGAGGGTATGTGCTCTGGTAAGCGCTGTGAATTGTGCAAGACTGTTGAATCTCAGATCTGTACCTCTGAAACAAATAATGCAATATATGTTAAGAAAAAAAAAAGAAGAAGAAGAAGGTAGCAGGAGGGGAAGAATGAAGGGGGGAAAATCGGAGGGGGAGACGAACCATGAGAGACGATGGACTCTGAAAAACAAACTGAAGGTTCTAGAGGGGAGAGGGGTGGGAGGATGGGTTAGCCTGGTGATGGGTATTGAGGAGGGCACGTTCTGCATGGAGCACTGGGTGTTATGCACAAACAATGAATCATGGAACACTACATCTAAAACTAATGATGTAATGTATGGGGATTAACATAAGAATAAAAAAATTAAAAAAAAAAAAAAAGAACACATTCTCACTGGAGAGATGGAAGAAGCCAGAGGGACTGGACAAGGTCTTTTCTTTCACCATCTAGAACCACCTTCCCCAGCCAATGATTCTCCCTTCTCACCAAGTCTTCTGCTGAAACATAATTTAAACACAAAACAGCAAAAACAATCCCTTTGCTCCATTTTCACATTCTGTGCTTTAGTCTTGCTACTTCTCACGGGTTCATTCCCATCTTCTATGCTGTCCGTGGGGATGCCCAAGGACCCAGCACACATCTAGCACCCATCCCCTGCCACTGGTACTGTTATCACTCAAATGTCCCCATGCAGCCTAGCAACCGGTGGGTTCTTTGGAGATCTTGTCTTTTCTGTTTTGTTGAAAAGATTTTATATGGTCAGAGTTTTTTAAGTCTTTCTATTTCTCTTAACCTATGTACCCTTTTAGAGTCTCTTTCCATGAGAAGTGTACCTCTATTTTTAAGCCATTTTTTGCTAAAGCATATATAACTTGATCCTGGTTTTCCTTCCTCCACTCCTGCTAACAATATAATTGGAGAACTTTCTCCCAAAATTTCACATTACTTCCCCATCCTACAATGGTTCTTCTTTTACTTTTAAAATGATGTCCAGTGTAGGAGTTCCCCTTATTCCTTCATGCTTTCTCAGAGAAACCATATGGCCTGTAAAGCAAGTCAGGAATGCCTCAGATGCCCAGTTTTGAGACAAACGAGATAGGAAACATCCAGCTGACAACTATCTGGATATCCCCCAACCCTAGTCTCAAGTTTTATGTTAGTAAGAAAGCTCCTACTAACAACAGCTAGACAATCCATGGTGGATGCCGCAGCATCGCTTCTGTTCTTCTCCCCTATTCTTCCTACCCAGATGTCTTTCTGTGCTTCACCCTTCAGATTCATAGTCACACACTATGAATAATTATAATAATTGTGATAATCGCAGTTTTATTCTAGCCCACCACCCTGCCCAAGTGCTACAGCTCATCATGGCCCTTCCCAGTGCAGGGGATTTTTCCACATCCATTATTCTATGCATAGTTCCTTCTATTGTACAACCTGCCTTGTCTGAAAAATTGATTTCAGACATCCTGGAGAGGTAGACACGCAGCCACAGGATCCTATCAGTCAACAGACAAGAACTCTTTTCTTAAGCAGCTTCTCATTACTTGTACCCCTCTGAGAGAAGAAAGTTTTGGCAGCTTAGAATCCTTTCACTTGGCTCCTCGCTGCCAGAAAATAATATCTCTGGGCATTTTTCAGGTCCTTTCATTCCCTGCCTCCCTGAGGGGTTAAGGTCTTGAGGAATGTAACTTGAAGATGAGAATAAACTGTAGCATCAAGAAGAGACAGTTTTCCAGTGCTACCCAGAAACATCAATACCAAGCCAAGCCTATGCATGGACAGGGCTCTCTCTTATTGCCAGTCTGCCACCATGGTACACAAATCCAAGGGCAGCCAGATAATCAGTCTAGAAGTAATGACAGTACTTGCTTATTCCCACATCTATCAGGCTGAGTAAACAAGCGATACTCCCATGTTCAAATGAATCAGTGTAGGCCATTGTGTTCAGGGTCTCCTGGTCTTGAAAGAAGAAATAAATGGCATACTAGCTTTCAGCCACCCAGCCACTTACCTCTGTTTCCCGCAATTCCTCCATATCCTAGGATATTTAAAAAAAAAAAAGTTTTTACCAAGTGCAAGAAAGATTTAAAAGTTTTTACCAAGTGCAAGAAAGATTTGGGTCTTAAATTTGCTTGTTTTGCATGGCAAGTGTCTAATTTTCTAGCTGTTCCATTTGTAGTTATGGGAGAGGTACCAGGATTTGAAAAGATATAGAAAACATTTTTGATAGCTCTGGGCTATATCAAGTGTTGGTTTTAATAGCAGGCCAGATCTCCAAGAACATGCTGTGTGGCTGTGTATGAACTTGGCTGTTGGTTTCCTTTGCCAGATGAAATGATGATTAATCGGGACTCAGATGTCAGTTGTTTTATGTTACTCGTGCTCTTTGCTAACAGCTGCCTATTTCAAGCTGTGCTTCCTACATGTCAAATGTAAACCTGAAACCACAAGTTCCAGAAGGAAAATTTCAAAGTACTCATAGAGTATATCAGAATATTCAGTGTTGTTTCTGATTAAAGTACAATTAGTATATTATGTGACTTAGCTGAAGTCAGTATAGAGATAGAAGGGTTCAGAATACGTGAAGTATTCCGGAAAAATTAAAACAAACTTATTATTAGGTATACATACCATGTGTGTAGATGTTTTAAGATATATATTTATGCAAATACTCAATGCATAAAACGCTCCTTGATATGCTAGTGTCACTTTCCTTTTTTATTCTGCAATAAATAAAAACAGTGAAATATTACCAGTAGGTGAATTATAACAAATTTAAATTCTTTATTCAAGCTTTAAAATTTTGAAGTAGATGGTTTTTTCTTGATAAGGTCTTTAATACTTCCTTATTTGCTCTTTAATCAAAAATGCCCTAAGAATCGCATTTGTATGCTTTCTTTTCACACAGCCCAAACAGAAACAACATTTTAAAAGGAAAAAGAAAGCAAAGAAAATATTGGTCAAGCTTTTCAGAAGTTTAGAAAAGCATATGCCTAAAATTTGGTGTGGACCAAAAAGAATTGATTTTTTTTTTCTTAACCTAGATAATAAATGTCTAATTTGGACTGTCCATGTGGCATAAGGTTCCCAAATTAAACTCTTTCAGAGATTGCCATTTTTAGCAAAAGAGGGGGAAGTGAGAATCAGACAACACCCAGGCTCTCTCTATACACTGTAGCCAAGTTGTCTAAAAACCAGTTTGGCCAATTCCCTGTAGTTCATTGCCTGACTGAGCTATATCAAGACTCCAGAAACTTAAAACAACCACAGGTAAGACACCTGAACAGGACTGATCATAGCCCAGGGACTAGCATAAAGTCTGGGAGACAGAGAGGACTGCCCTCTCATTTTTCTACTAATGCCCTTTGCCAAAGCATAAACCACCTGCTCGAAACCTGCTCCGTCATATCCAAAATACAGTGTCCAGGGAAGGGTCTGGTGACATCCAGAGGTGGAAAGGGAGCTGGGTAAACAGTCTGGTATTATTCATTTTTCATGTCCATTTACCTCCAGGTTTCTAAAACAAGTTCTTCTCCCTTCCTCCTCCCCGCTAGGTGGCAAACCTGCTAAGGCTCTTCCAGATCCCTCAGATAAGCTACGCGTCCACCAGCGCCAAACTCAGCGACAAGTCGCGCTATGATTACTTTGCCAGGACGGTGCCCCCCGACTTCTACCAGGCCAAAGCCATGGCCGAGATCTTGCGGTTCTTCAACTGGACCTACGTGTCCACCGTGGCCTCGGAGGGTGACTACGGGGAGACGGGGATCGAGGCCTTCGAGCAGGAAGCCCGCCAGCGCAACATCTGCATCGCCACCGCGGAGAAGGTGGGTCGCTCCAACATCCGCAAGTCCTACGACAGCGTGATCCGCGAGCTGCTGCAGAAGCCCAACGCGCGCGTCGTCGTGCTCTTCATGCGCAGCGACGACTCACGCGAGCTCATCGCCGCCGCCAGCCGCGCCAACGCCTCGTTCACCTGGGTGGCCAGCGACGGCTGGGGCGCACAGGAGAGCATCGTCAAGGGCAGTGAGCATGTGGCCTACGGCGCCATCACACTGGAGCTGGCCTCGCACCCCGTCCGCCAGTTCGACCGCTACTTCCAGAGCCTCAACCCCTACAACAACCACCGGAACCCCTGGTTCCGGGACTTCTGGGAACAGAAGTTCCAGTGCAGCCTCCAGAACAAGCGGAACCACCGGCGCACGTGCGACAAGCACCTGGCCATCGACAGCAGCAACTACGAGCAAGAATCCAAGATCATGTTTGTGGTGAACGCCGTGTATGCCATGGCTCACGCCCTGCACAAAATGCAGCGCACCCTCTGTCCCAACACCACCAAGCTTTGCGATGCTATGAAGATCCTGGACGGGAAGAAGTTGTACAAGGACTATTTGCTGAAAATCAACTTCACAGGTAAGCGAGGAGCCTTTACTCATCTTCTGCGGGGTAAACAGGTAGAATCAAACAGGATTCAGATACCTCTGTCCCTGACCTAGAAATCTTCATTTCAGAGCCATAAAAAGGGTTCAGACTGTTAAACAAATATTCCGAGATGCAAGATGATGGCCGTGGTGTTCTAACTTATTTTTGAGTGGATAACTTGGTTGATGCACTACATGAAATTGAAAGGCTCCCTAGGCTAGGCTGATCTGTGGTAGCTGTCTACATGTGGGCTACGCTACATTTGCTCTCTTTTTTGTTAGCTGTGGGGTATGACACGTCTGATATGGGCATTTAATCTTCTTTAGCAGAATTGGAAACTCTCTAAGGAACATGAACTTCCAAGCCTTCCTTTGGGGTGATTTGAGCAAAAGAATCTCATAACTTTCACAGTGGGTGAGAGAAAAAAGTCGCTGTTTTCCCAGAGCTTAATTAGGGGCAAAAGGGAAAAATATTCAGACCATGGTGATTTCCAGGCATTTGAGTTGATTTCTTCTGCTATACAGAAACATTTCCATGTCAGCATTAAGAGTCGTAGATTTTCTCAAAGGATGTTATGAAATGAAACTTTTTCTGGGAGCCTGAGTATAAACAAATTGAAGGCTTATGGAAGTCATTACAGTATAGTAGTGAATAGGCAAAGGTGTGTTTGAAATGGCTTCTGTTTCCTCTTCATTTGATTCTAAATATGGTAAAGTATTTCTAAAGATAGCATTGCATTTCAATGCATTACTAGCATAAAAGGCACAAAATTTTTAAGTTTGCAATCTCTACGATGGTACATGTGATAAACCAGTGCATTAAGGTATTGGTTCTGAGGACTTTAGCTTTACCCAAATCATAAACAGTAAGTAATATTATATGGCACAAAAAAACTTGATGCCAGAAATATTACAATGATAAAGTGCTTCCATTTGCCTAAATCGCTAATAATCATCTCCCATGCCATTAGGGCATCATTCTAATCTACACAGTCTGTATCAATGGGTTTCTCCCCAAAGACATGAAAGTTCGTATGCTCAAATCATATTGTTATTAGAATAAGTGGCAGTTCTCGCATCTCCTCTATAGATGATCATTTGGAAGTCAAAATGACCTGAAAAATCACTGGTAGGACTTACGACCATTGGTTCCTGTTCCAAAATTCTAATTCCCAAATCAGTCTTGAAAATAAGCACAAAAATTACCAGCCGGCATTTTGCACATCTTTTCCTCATTCTACCCAGAGGGAGCCGAAAGTAGTAGAAATCAGTTATGTCAGTATTTTCTCCTATTCATCTACTAGATACCTCTTCCCATTGGAATGACTGTTTATAAGTGGTAAAGATTAAACTCTTTCTGTGCCCTGTATTCCCACGTGCATTCCATATAGAAATAACAAATATATATTTTATATATAATATCAAATCACCATTTATCTCAAAATCCCAGATCGATTTCCACTGACATCTCCAGAAAATAAGAATGGACCACAGAAATCAGTAAAAAAGAATAGCTTTGCTCTAAATAAAATGAATTTCACAGGTATCTGTAAATAGCATCTACAATGCACTTAAAGATAAATAAGATAAGCACCATCCCTACCCCCTTCTCATTACCCTTGGGGTTATTATTTATCTTTATTCGCTACATGTATTCATTAATCTTATTAATCTAGTCCATTCCTCATTCTTCAGTATACAAATACACAAACCTATCTGCTCATCAGCAGCTACTATAAAGGGAGCTCTTAGATTTCAGTGAGCCCTTGCAAGGTGTTTTAGGTAACCAAAATATTTTTCTTCATTTCCCAGACTGAGTCTTAAATGGTGAAGAAAAGGGAAGAAATAAGGCCATTATTTGGTAAATAAAACAAAAGTATCTTCTTTTTGTCTGTCTTGTTCAATTACTGGCTTTGATTCTACAATTTGGTTCAGCTTTGTAAACTTGACCGCAAAGTGCTATTTTAGCCTTCTCAACTTGTTCGACATTACCAATCCTTCCCCACCTCTGAAGAGAGTAGAAGGGTGAAAAACAGGTGGAAACTACAGAGAAGACAGGGAACTTAGACCAGTCACCAGTGCCACAATGCTTAGTAATGTGGGAATTGGAGCAGAAAGTGCCATACTATGGGAGGACACTGAGATGCTAAAGGAGCTAAATATGTACATTTTAAAAATAAGGCTAACCTGGTTACCTATTGAAAAGCAGATTTTGATTTACATTTTTCTCTGAAATAGTATCTTTGTTTTTATAACTTGAATAATGACCCAAGGGACTAAGCACAAAAGTAAACAGCAAACCATCTTTGCTCAAGTGGGTTGAAAAAGTCCTCTTCCAGCCATCTGCTTGTACTCAGTGCATTTACTCCAAGATTTTTCTGACAAGGGATAGATAGTTGCAGCCAGCCTCCTAAGGGCTCTAGTCATTACAGGATGGAAAAGCTAAGCCTCCTGAGAATTTTAACTACATAAGTTAAAATACTCTTTGGTTCCTCAGTATATTCCTACTAGCTAGTTCCAGCATCGGCCAACATAAGTATCCTTGGAGTTAACCCAGTTTGATATTCCTTTTACAAAAGAGATTTTACAGAACTACAGTTTGTTCAAGATTCATCAGAAGAGTGAGCTCTCCTGGCATAGGATCTAACCACTATCTACCTCTTGCTATGCACCCCACATTGACCCTTCCTTCCATAAAGACTACTTGCAGTTCCCTAAGCACATCATACCTTTACTTTTGTCTTTGTATCCTGTGTACATGAGATGTACATGTAATGTGCATGTCTGTTTCCTCCACCTAGGACCTCTCACCCAACCTCCATCTACCCTATCTAGTACCTTCACTTACTCGGTCTCCACTGCTACCACCCTGGTCCAAGCCACCAACATCTCTGGGCTACATTTCTACAACAGCCTCCTAATTGATTCACTCTTGCCCCCCTCCATCCCATCCTCCACAACCCATTCTCTCCACGGCAGCCAGGATGCCCTTTTAAAACTTAAATCAGAGCAAGTCACTCCTCTACTCACAACCTCTTAGGGAGTTCCCCCATTTCACCCAACAGTAAAAGTCAAAAAATCCTTGCAATGCCCTATAGATGTCTTCCCCAATCCACCCCCTCACTGTCCTTCTTGCTCTCCTGTCATTACTTTCACTCCCCCTCTTTCTCCCTTCACTCCAGCCACCCTCATTACCAAATTTAGGGCTTTTTCTGCTGGCAGTTCTCTCTGTCTCTAATGCCCTATCCCCATATATTCCTGGGGCTAGTCAATTCCCTTACTTCCTTCAAGCCTTTACTTCAATGTTAGCTTTCCTGAGGCCCACCAGGCAATCCTTCTGGAAGTTGTAATTCACTGCCCCCACCCCACAACAGGCATCCTCATGTCTCTCTAAGCTGCTCTATTTCTTTTATACACAGTGATTTTTTCCCTTTTCTTTCATACCACCTATTTTCAAGTTTATTCTCCATTGTTTGATCTTCACACTTGAATATAAACACCATGAAAACAGAAATCGTTATCAATTTTTTCACTGACACAGCTCAAGCATAATGGCCACTCAATAAATATTTGTTGGTTATGAATATCACTTGACACCCAAACTCATATTTCCTTCTCTGTCTCCATTACTACATTGTGAGCTTTTTCAAGGCAGAGAATATATGTTTCATCTCTGATCTCAAATACCCAACACAGTTTCTAGTACAGAGTGGGCATTACATGAATATTTACTGAAGGAATAAGGAATGAGGAAAAGAATCAATAGATTTATAATATTCTTTTTATGAAAATTTAATATATATACTGTGTTCACTAACAAATGAGTTTCAACAAAGAAAAGTATATGACTTCTAGAATGGCTTGCTTTTACCTAAGCACTGTCCTTTAGTTATGTTCTATCATTGTATTTGAGATACATTTAAAACCTAACAGCATTAGCTCTGGATCTCTTATCCATCCCTGTTTTATAGATGAAGCCCCAAAACTCACAGCGATTTGTCCAAGGTCATCATCTGGTTAGTGGCAGGAGCAGAGACTGAAATCCAGTCACCAGGTCTGGGGCTGCTTTTGGGTGTCACCAAGAACCTTGGGACGTTGAGGTCTTTGATCCCAAATACCTAACATCATTCTGACATATATTAGATTTCAATGGGATGTTGATTGAAGGAATGAAAGACAATCAGTCAGTAAGTTTGAAATATGTTTCTTTCTGGGCTCCTTCTTATGATTCTTTTAATGCTCCTGGGCCACTTTCCCAATTAGTTGGAGCTGAGGTGTTTCATAAAACACCCACACTTTGGAAGCTGAGTCTTAGAATCTAAACCTTAGGATATTAAAAAAATTTTTTTTCAAAGCTTTTTTTGTTGTTAGTAAAATGATTTCCATCTGAAAGAGCCATGTCATCCAGAATTCTGAAAGAAATATTTAAATGCGAATTATGTTTATTGTCATTTGACTTTTCAAAATGACTTTGAGTGAAATTCCTTGTGCTTATCATGTAAAAGGAAAGCTTGAACTACCAAGTGAGTTAGAAAGAGAAGAAATAGAGAGGGCCATTAAACATCCACAGAAATGCAATATCACTGTCTGCTGTGTGTTCACAGTAGAGTGCAGTCTCTCTCACTTTTTATTCTGAGACCAATTCCAGAAAGTGGAGGAGAATAAAATCATAGAGTGACAAAAGGCCTTCCTCAAAGATGAACTTGCCCCTATTCCTCACTTGACAGGGGTGGAAATTCAGGATGTCAGCATTATTATCTTCACTTACTGAAGCACATAAAAGTGAACTCAACTGTCAGAGTGATGTGGTAACCGGAGTACACCCAATTCAAAAGAGAAAAGGAAGAGCTCCCACTTACTGAACATACTGCCAGGGGTGCTCCAAGACACATCCACAATTGGGGAGGCATTCTCTTGGAAATAACACTCACAGCATTGCTCTGTGTGATTTGCAGGGGCCGGTGGGCTAGAATATTTGAGAAGGGAGAAATT